CGAGCTGGTCTGGGGGGTGAATGGGGGCTGGGACTGGGAGAAACTTGTGATAATGGTCCCGTTTGCTGCCGCCGCAAGTTGGTTCGAAATCTGTGTCAGTAGGAGAACAGTTGCATCGTCAGAATCGGGTGTCAATGTCTTGTAGCTCTCGATTAAGAAGGCCACCAAACTGGCGGAGAACAGACCGGCCTAAGAGGAAACAGTTTTTACTTCATTGTAAGTCCAGATCGAGCTGAAGACTTACGAAAATGAGCATGCCCTCCATATCACTCTTCCAGCTCTCGACGAGTCCTCTGTCATATTTTTCTGCCTCAGCGACGTAAACCGCCCACATTTTCCCACCCGCAGCCTCATCGTCGTCAAGATCCAAGGCTGGACTGTGTGAGTCATGCAGTTTGAGACAGTATCAACTACTCACTGGGTTTTTCTGAACCTTTCTCTGGGTCATCCATTACGGAGCGAGACTGAGTGGGTGGTGGCAGGAAGGAAAAACTTCAAGGCAGTGCGGTAATAAATGATGCGGAGGCAGTGCAAAGGAAGTGCGATGAGTTTTCCCCATCAGATGCTTGTCACTTGTGCCGGCCGTCCCAAGGATCCCAAAAGCGGCATTCGCGGAGGTTATGAAACCCCCCGACAACGCTGGAGCGCGTACTAGTACACAACTTCGTCCATCTGCAGGGGATAATTTTACTTCGATCGGGTCGCCTTTGGGCCGTAAACGGTTCGGCATAAACGGCATGTTCCGCCTGGTCACCGGTATGTGTTGGTACGACGTGTTTGAGAGACGGGGGTTGAATTCTCTCGAAGTTGCTACTGAGTCAGTGAGTCGCTGAAAGCTAACGGATTCCTCCGTGCAGTAAGCTTAAGGAAGCTCTAGCACGCCCCTTGGTTTAGTTGCGGCATGATTCGGGAGAGCCGGTGGTACAAACCCATCCGAAGACACTGATACCGACCATCCCCGTTTTCGTGGTGTAAGATGATAGGCATTGACCGGGATCACGTACCAATCCTGCGGCGTAGCTCCGGATATACGTCTGCGCGCAGCACGGAGGCGCACCGCACATGCCATCTAAGATAACGGCGCCAATTTCCCAAATTATCCGCCGGACCTCAGTCTGAAGAGGTTTCACAAAAAAAGCCCCGAGGACACTGAGAAGCCGGCGATCTTTTTTTTTCTTTGCTGGAGTCGAGTGCACCCTTCGAGACCGGCAGATACACTAAGAACTGGCTTCGTGGAGTATGAAATTCGATCCCACCTCCTATCCTGTCGCTGCCGTTCGTAGTTGAGAGAGCCGGTGGTTCGAGACATGTCTGTGGAGGAAATACCTTTGTCCGCCTCGGGCCGAATGGGTGCATTCATGGGGACCTAGATAGCTGAGAATACACTGAGACGAGCCTTCGCGCTCACTTCCGCCTGCTATTTACTTGGCCGAGCGGTTGCCGGGAGAGGCGGTGGATCGAATCCACCCGAGGAGACTGGGGGCTGTTCGGTATCCTTGTCGTCCATGTGTGGTCGACGACCGTCTTCCTGGCTTCGAGAGAGCAAACGGCGAGGCTAAGAGCCACTGGAACAGTTTTGCGCCTTTTTCCATCTCGCCCGGAAGGTTGGGGTTCTGGATTCAGGCAGGAGACAGTGATCAGTGCACGTCCGCGTAGAGGATGATTATTTCCTCACCCTAATGAATGGCCAGGCGTGTACGGTACGTGATGCATTTTTGCGAGTACCTATCCAACGTTGAAGCTTCACACGCAGGTCTTCGTGGGGTGCTGAACTCGCTCTCGCATGATGCAGAAGCCCCCATCGGCTGTACGAGAGAAACAGTGGCTCGGCCGCATACACTTGCCCGAAACCGAAATATTTTCCTTTTTCCGCCTCGGGTCGAAGAGCGTGGTCCGTATTCCATGGAGCATCTAACCAGCCTAGAAGGGACTACGATATGCCTTCGTAGAGTCAAGAGCTCGCTCCCACCTCCTGATTTGGCAGGGAAGTGAGCTGCGCGTGAAGGCGGTGGTTCGAATTCGCCCGAAGACATTCGATATGGGATGCACCGTCTTTTGTTTCGGGTGATTGAGCAAGGAGATGGCGAAGATTGCGCGGGAATCGCTGGAGTCCAGCTGTTCTGGGAAGCTGAAGAGTGGTATATGACAAGTATATGTGGGTACCTGCCGCGAGATGTGTGCCTGATTTCCGGCCGCCAAGTGCTCTCTGGCGTCAAGCACAACGGCCCTTAGCTGGCAGGATCCGGGGGCTTGCTCGATAAATTCTATCCCGCCCGGGTTGTTATGCGCTACAGATCTGTGACAGTGTCTGCGTACTTCCCTAGTCCACAGGCCCCCGGCATCCGGGCCGTCCTCTTCTTGCTACGGATCATCCTCGGCACCTCGGCAACATTCCAATCACTCTCCACTTGAAATTCCAACCGACACTCTTCTTGTCCGCTCGATTGCTCGGGAATGAACTCGTTCACCACGCTTCCGCCTTCCTGTTCTCTTCATCTGGAATGCTACATGAGATGCACAACCCGGCGGCCCCGTGCCGCCATCAGCCGCTCGGCTGGCGGCCTGTCAGTGATCTCAGAAAAATGGGTGAGGGTTAATTCCTTTTGTCCGGTGCGTCCACAAGGCGCAAATGGATTCACCCTCTACCGCACATCTCACAACATGTCTGGAGGCTTTGTCCTACTTGCGATACCTGGAAGCAGCCCTGAGCCACAGACTCGGAGGCGCCGAGGGCTCCTGACTTATGGTCAACGCCGTCCCCTTCACTCCCAAGCCCGCCATCGCCAAGCTCCCGTTGGCTGTCCGCAAAGACAGTGCGTCCACCCGTCTTATCCGTACATCTGAATTCGTTTTGATAACGGCCGCTAGTTCGCGATAACTTCGCCGCGAAGAAGGAGGACTTGCAGGCGCGTATCAAGGCGCTAGAGGGGACTGACTTCACGATCAAGATCAACGCGGCGGAGGTCTGGGCGTACGCAGAGGAGGGCAACACCTCAGCCGGTACCTGCTTCGAAGGGTGCGCCATGCTCCATCTTCTGTACGCTGGCGGGGGGCTAATAGCTGTTTGCGCAGATACGTCGAAGGGTTAATCTCGGCGCTCGAGACGTTCATGAAGTTCAATGAGAATGGCAAGACGTTCTTCAACGAGGCCGGAACGCAGTCGGAGCTCACGCTCACGGTGCGTTCTCTTCATGCTTCCTGTTGCCTTTCGATCTGACGGACACACTGCAGGTGAACCCGCTCGGCCACAAGGGCGAGGCCATTAGCTCCGACGTTAAGGACGGCGTGTACCGCATCCTCTTCCGCCACGACCGCTCGGATACAACTGCAACTGGTTCGGTACGTCCCGCTCCTACCATTCACGATCCGCACCTAACACTGGCAATGGTACAGACAGCACCATGCTCCCCGCGATCGAGTCCGCGCCGCGCGAGGGTTTCTTGCTCTCCGCTAACTCCTCCATCGAGAGCGACTACGACGACGAGGTCGACGAGGCGCGCGAGGAGAGCGACAAGCTCGTCGGCACGGACATCCCGCTCGACCCGAATTTCGAGGAGGTGTAGACGGCGCTGAGCGCGCTCAAGGACAACGACTGACAGGCGCGCATCGGCGCGACCGTCCTACACTACTTCAAGGGCCTCAAGTACCGGATCGAGCGCCAGGGCGCATGCCGCGCTCCTTAGTATTTCCTGGTTCAGCGGCTAACGGGCAGCCGTAGGCTTCGGAGACGGCGAACTGCTCCAGGAGGGGTTGCAGGAGATCGTCGAGAGCAAGACGTTCAAGGCGCGCGTGTTGGTGAAGACGAAGAGCGCGATCGAGACCGTGATCGAGGACGGCGTCGTCTACATCCAGGTCGGTGGATTCCCTCTTCCCCATGTTCGCCCGCTCATATAGAATTGTGTCAAACCTCGCCCGACCGCTGGGATACAACGCGAACGACGCGGGCGAGGGGCTGCTTAAGCTCCTCTAAGTGTATTAGCGAGATTAGAGATATGTTGTGGACTGGGTTAATTTTATTTCTTTTATTCTTGGGACGCGAAAGGGTTGCATTTGAGTTCACGCGGCATGCTATGCGTCGTGTGCTCATTATCTGTGCACGTATCCGGTGTCTCAGATACATTAAGAAGTCTTCGTGGAGGATGGAACTCCCTCCCGCCTACTGAAGGGATAGGATATACGTGGAAGAGCGGGTGGTTCGATTCCACCCGAAGACGTATATCTCGAGGATGGCTCTTCGTGTTCTGCTCTCTCAGTCTACAGCTTGTTTCAAATAAGCTTTCTACGGTGTCCCAGAGAGACATGAGAAGTTCTTCAGCTCGGACGGGGTCCAGCCCCATTGACAAAAGTTCTTTTTTCGAAGACTTTGAAGAAGGGATAGAAGTGTTGATGAAGGAGGGGGAGCTTACGAGTCTCTGTGAAGCATGGCGCTCACTCCCTCACAATCCACGTGAAAGTTACGTTCTTAGGAGAGACGGTGGTTCGAATCCACCAGGAGACGTACATATCCGTGTTCGAACCACTTTTTATCTGGCTCAAAGGATTATGCCATGGCCATTCTCTTGCAACAAACTCACTTATCCAGGACACAAAGTTTACACGGAAGTCCTCGTGGAGCATGGTGCTCGCTCCAAGCCAATCTGGGGCCACCAAAAATTCAAGGGAGAGCCGGTGGTTCGAATCCACCGAGGACATGGAATGGGCCCCCATCATTCTTTTTCCCACGGGGGCAGATTCTTTTCTTGGTGCAGCAGGTGTTGAATAATGATACACTTGACTTGAAGCGCAGAAGGACTGGCAGGTCTTCGTGGATCAGGGTCGCCCACTCCCGCTTGATAGAAGCCTGCGAAGCACTTGTCGTCTGGGAGATGCAGAGGCGGTGGTTCGAGCCCACTCGAAGACATGGTCCCTTGAAATCCATCATTCATTTTTCTTGCGGATAGATCTAGATAGAGTCGCTTGAATTGTGGTCCAGTTCGTTTACGGTGCAGCTTTATTGGCAAGTCTTCGTAGCGCAGGGTCGCTCGCTCCCACTCCATTCATCCGTCTTCGAATACTCTGCGAGAGCTGGTGGTTCGACTCCACCCGAGGACATTTGTTGGGTCCACGCACTCTTTTTCTTCGCACCTTGAGCGGATACGGGACACAAGAGACGATCGACTGCGCGCAGAAGTAAGGGCTGTACATATCCGTCTTAAATTCAGCTGGTGAACCGAACGCGGGCGGCAGATCAGGTTGATAATCGACGCACTAATCCAAGACACCACGCTTACACGAAAGTCTTCGTGGAGTACGGCACTCCCTCTCGGCCGGTGGAATACCATTTTGACACGTATGCATGAGAGCGCCGGCGGTTCGACTCCGCCCGAGGACACTGCGCCCTTCTGATGGTTTTCTTCTTTTTCTTGGCCCCACGGAATATGGGACGGGAATAGCCGGGTCGCTCAAGCAGGTCTTCATGGAGTATGGAAGTCGCTCCCACAGGATATGCGTAAGTATCAGTTATAGGATCGAGTCCACCTGAGGACATCGGATTTGAGTCCGTATCTTTCTTTTTTATGGCCACCTGCAGGGAGCCACGATGCGCTAATAGCCCTGGCGGCGAAGGAGGAGTCTTTTGAGTCGTGGGGCATTTGCTCCGCTCCAATGGATGAAAGATCAATGTTGGCACTTTTACGAGCTGTGGCGTCCGAAGCCAGCAAGAGACGTTGACAAAACATTCGCCGTTTTTTTTTTGGCACCACGGGAAGTGCGCGACGCAGCATGTATATAACCGACCAGAGGTCGGTGGTATGAGCGGCTTGTGAATCTTCATGGAGTATGGAATTTGCTCACAGCGAATGTGTCTCGCACATAGTTTGGTGGTTCGAACCCGCCCGAGGACGTAGTGATAGAAGTGGTCTTTCTGGTGTAGATATGGAGGAGGAGATTGCACCGACGCGCGCAGTAGAAGTGCCGATGCGAGTTGGTGATTGCACTTCACCGCATTGACTTTCTTTTCGTCAGAGGAGGAAGGTGCAGGGCGCGCAGAGTCGAGGCGAATATACGCCCTGTCGCAGTGGCAGTGGTAGTGACACAAAGCCCACTACAAGCGAAGCCAAAGAGTACGCGGGGAGGTTTGGGGTCGCAAGATGAAGTTCAGAGGGGTCACGGTAAAGCTCGGGGCTGCGGATGGGCACAGGAAGCTTGAGGAAAGGGTCCAGACGCCGGACGCCGCGGCCCGCCGACAGGCTTGAGAAGTTGGGGAGCCGTGTTAGGCCGCATTGCCCGAGACAAAGAATGTGCCCAGGAAGAGGGGAGATCAAGGAGCGTCAAAACGAAGGAGCCAAAAGAGAGACTGCGAACATGACCGTCGGATGTTTGCCGGCGCCCTGTTGTCGCGTATTTACCGTGTCCTCTTGCCTCTGGCGTCCACCGCGACTCACTCCGAAGAGCGGCCACTAGAGGCGCAGGCTGCAGCTCTCGACTTCCCAATTCTCTTCTGAACTCGGCACGGAGGCCGCTTGATCATCGAGCCAGAGCGCCACAAGTGCGAGCTTCAGCGCACTGCAAGCAGCGGCGGGACCAGGACGCCCATGATTTCAGCGGAGCTGCCTTCCTCAACTCGGAGCGGCTCTCTTCGATCCGCACCCGTTTTTGCCTGGCGAACTCACGCTTGCCACTGACCCAGCGAACTGCACCTCCGACGGCGCCGCCAGCTGCTCCTGTCCGTCACGCCGCAGTGCATCTGACTCTGGGCCTCATTCTCCAAGTCCCTCGCTGTGTGGCCACCGCGGTGGCATTTTTGCCTTCGCTTCGGACATTCATTTTGCGTGCGTCTCATCATCCTGCATTTCTCGTCTCTCTCTCGACCCTCTCTGCTCGCTGTTCTGTCTGGCGCGCATCCAGTGCCAGCCTCGCTCATCCAGCGTCCGATCCGGGGCAATCCTCTATGCACTCGCCCTTCCATGCCATTCTTCCCTCGCTTTACGGGGCGGCTCCTCGCCCTGCCCATGCTCTACCTGGTTTGATTACGGCCCCGTTCATATCAGCCAGTGGGCCTCCACATTCGCGGCTACGCCAATACAACGGACTGCGTAGTGCCCACCATCTGACCGCATTTGGTGCTCGGTTCCTCTTCCCCCCTGTACCCGCGTATCACCTCGCTCGCGCGGATCCCTGCGCCCGAGGTCGCCCATTTCCGCCGCGCGCTCTCGTTACGCTCTCTACATTTCGGCATTCGTCGCCCGTGGCTTGATTTTGCGTGCGACCACATTTCTAGGCTCCCAAGGCGCCACCTGTGTAAATTCACCCTATTATCTGAATGCACTTCACCGCGCACCGCACCTCAAATCTATTCGTAGCTTCTAGTTCCGTCGGAGGAGGCTCCCCTTATCAAAAGGTTAACATTTCTCGCGGGCCGCAGACTCTTAGCCAAGTCTTCGTAGAACAGGGTCATTTGCTCCCACTTATCGCCGCGAACCTGTTCTTATCTAGGACAGATCGTGGTTCGCCTCCACTCGAAGACACTAACCGTCAATTTCACACTTTTTATTTTATTTTCCTTCGTCCAAGGAGGTCGCTGCGTATCGTCTCGAACGCGGTGAATGACTCGTCTCGAACGCTGTTAATAATCATCATCGCGTGTTGCAGCCGAAACTTGGCGAACAAACCGAGGGGGAAATTGGAGTTCGCGACTGGGCTTTCGAATTGTGTGCTGCAGGCGCACCTATTCAGCGTCGCAGAGGCATCTGTAAGCCTTCGCAGAGCAGGATTGCTCGCTCCCGTCCGCTGAGGCTGTAGAACTGAGCTATGCGCATGGGACTCGGAGTCCCACGGTGAGGAGTCTTCGTAGAGCACGGCAGCTCGTTCCCACTCGATAAAGAAGTCTGCAGTTCGTCATCTGGGAGAGGGGTGGTTCGAGTCCACCTCAAGACGTGGACTTTCACTTCTTTGTTCTTTTGCAGCCAGATAGATTAGGGGTTGAATTGGGGTACAGTTGGCTTGCGCCGCAGAGGTACTGGCAAGTCGTCGTGGAGCTTCCCGCTAGATAGAAAGCTGGACATCCAGCTGCAGTCTGGGAGAAGCGGTGGTTCGATTCCACCCGAGGACATTTGATCTGCGCCAGGTCTTTTTCGCACCGGCAGAGTGCGTAGACAAATAGCAAAGAGTGAAACACTGAGTACGACGAGGATCTAGCAGATCCTCGGGGAGGATGCTGGACATATCAAGTGGAGCAAACGGGAGAGCAGCTGACGTTATCGTGGAGCCTAGCGCTCGCTCGCGGGCCACACGCAGAAGATCAAGGGAGAGCCGGTGGTTTGAATCCACCTGAGGACATTGTCATAAGCTCGAGTTTTGTGTAGTTCTCAAATGGAGAATAGCTATTATAGAGTGCCCCGATGCCGCGCACAGCAGAAGTGCGTGACGGCGCTTAACAGACCCTGTCAGTGAGATAGACGAAGGCGCAAGATTATTCCCGCGAGCAGACGACACGTCGCCCACAGCGCCCATGCGAAGCCCGAGTAGACTCCCGGGAAATTGGGCTGAGACTTGAAGCTCAGCGGTGCGATCTTGGGCTGCGGATGGAACAGGAAAGGGGCGAATCGCAGACAGCCCCGGATGGGAGAAGCTGAGTACCGCGGGCGGCCGGGGTTCTCAAGTTCAAGTTGCCAGAGCCAAAGCGGTCCAGGGGAAGTTGGAGGCGCCGAGGAGGAGGGACGGTAAGCTATTTAACGAAAAAGCGGGCCGACATGACATCATACTTTTTGAGCATGTTGCCTGCAGTGCACCGTGTGGACGCATGTTTGCCCACGCCCCTTGCCGCCCATCATCTCCAGCCTAGCGGATGCAGCGACCTATCCCTCTCATCCTCCGTATATTTTCCCACTCGGGATGGGCCCCCCTATCCCTGCAGTGCCAGCGCTAGTTTTGGCGCTAGTAGAAGCCTAGGGGAGTCGGGACGCCCACGAACTCGGGGTAGCTGCCGTCAACGGTGTCGTTCTATGCGGTGCGGGATCCGCGTCCTTGCTTGTTACCTCCTAGCTTTGGCGATGAATCAAATCTCAGCGTCCGAATCTTCTATTGACATCAGCACCTCTACGTCCGTTGGCCTCTGAGCAGACTCGTTCTTGCTGGGTCCGAGTGCTGGAGGACTCATCTATACCTACGTTGCGCTGATTCTCTCGTCCCATGCGTTTGTCTGGTGGATCAAGCTAACGTAGGAGCTGTGCTACTTGTATTCCCGGGCGCTCCGAAGAACTGTCGGGTCTGCTCCCATTTCACTTTCAATGCTCCGCTCTTCCTGATCGGCATTCGGCATCCACTACATCGGGTGTGCATGGAACGACTGGCGGAATCGGATCTCTGTAGCATGCAGCGATCTGCATGATGCATACTTATATGGGACCCCACGAAAACTATTTCAAGGCTTCGGGCGAGTTTTATTTCGGCAACTTTACTTGAATATAAAGGAGTTCAACACACGGGACGGGGAAATGGCTCGGTGCCTGCGTCGTCTATTTTAGCTATGGGGCGTCTTAGTCATGTGGCCCCTGGAGCTCAAGTCTACACTCCGTAAATGACAGGTCAGTTTGAATTCTGCGGGCTCATCGGAGTATAGTCCTCAAGCTTCCAAAGATATGTACCATGCTCGGAATGCGGTAGGGCAGTTCCTGTGGTCATCCGAGTTTGACGGAGACAGATCCATTCACTTTGCTTCATTTTGACATACCCTGCGCCTAAATTTAATACAGCACCGAGTAATTGGAGCGCCTCTCGCCATGCCTTGCTTCTTCCGCTCCTCGGACACAGTTGATGAGCACCACAGGCGCGCTCAATTTGATCCCCGTGAGTATACAGCATTTCCATCTCATACACGGCACATAACCACTCGCACTGTCGTCACTTCTTTAATAACCGGACAGCATAGAGAATCTACCCGCTTCCTCGTCCCGCTTCGTGCTCTTCCTCTCCCCATGCACTTAAGCTCCGAAAACTCGACCCCTCTCCTCGACAAACCACGTTCCGACATGCGCTCGACGGGGTCTCAGAAGCCGTCCAATCCTCATGCGGTTGAGATCCTTGTCGTCCCGCGCCAGAGCCGGTATGTATTC